GAGCTCCACACTCCAGCCTTCTCCGGTGGTCAGCAACAAGGCCTTGCGGGACGACACAGCCAGATAATCCTCGAGACTGCAAGGAGACTCGCTCAACTAGTACTCTACGACGTTCAAGGGGAAGACGAAAAAACAAATTGAATGCTAAGTATACTACGATCCGCACAGCGAAAGGAAGAAAAAAAACTTTGTGAAGACAGATCAATAAAGTATCTAGAGAAAAGATTAGTATCGAAGGTTCTTCAGACATATTTATTGTAGCAAAAAAAATGCTCAGCTAAAAAATTTACTACTTTCGATACGGAACGTAGATCTATGGAGGAACAACGTGCATCCAATTTTTCTCGCACTAGTTCCGAAAACGTTATAAAAGCTGGATTCGAAAACATAGTTTCTTATAGTAAAGACTGTTCAGATAAACTTCCACAGAAGTGGATGGAGTCAGTCTTGCGGAACATGTGCGTTGGTTCCATTGTTTCCCATCGATCTACGTATCGTTTAAAAAGTAATATGCAGGAAAACTGAGCGTTCTTTCTGCTATGATCACGTCCATAGAAGAACTTTCAACAATAATCGACAATAACAAGGAGCAACACAAGAAGATTGCGATGGAGCGTTGAGGGAGGAGATCGAACCAGCAACTGCTCTCCTGATGATCGGCATTATTGACCGCTCGGCACTATGGACTTCTCGTCCGTCGCGAGCCAGGCAGGGCCAATATAGTGGGCATGTCGTACCCAAAGTTTTATGCTAATAAAGTAAGCATCCGGCGTTGAGTGATTGCCAAGAGAACTACCACGAAATCGACCTCACCGAGCATTGTTAGCGTTAACTGCACTCGTTCATCCACTGACTTTCTGTATATTATGTCAATGAGATGTCATAAAAGACATATCAGACATATCATGCCAGATAAGAGTGGTACATTTTTTTTGTCAACACCACAGGCTTGGGATGCTTGGTGAGCCCAGAACGTGGGATCGCACCAATAAGCACGTATGTGTTGCAGAGTACCTCTAATCGTGCTACACATGCTCTATCTTATGCAAATAACAGAGGAGAAATAAATTAGAACTACTGAGACTCCAATAGAGCCTCCTCTACTAACAAAGATATTAGATATCAAAAAAGCACCAGTATGTCTGGAAGAACAAACTCCAACATTAAAAATAACCAGTAATAAATTCACGAGTTGATCTAAAAAAATGAGATAGTTTTTGAATTATCACCACTTCAACACACCCAGCTAAAGAGCGTACATAATTGTCCACTACGTCAGCTTCTATTCCCATAGGACCATTCGCGTCCGGACGTGCTTCTTTCATCGCTTCCTGAAAACGCAAAGATATCTGTTATTACCAAGCCAATGAAGGGTCTATGAGCAGCGCGAAAGGAAAATCTGGTCGTCTCAAAGATAACAAAGTATCACCTTTATACTGTCTGTGTTATATCGCTTATACGTGTTGATAATTTCGCGGAGTGGCCTCGCTTTTACGAACTGCACAAATCCCTCGTTTACGCCAGTCGACAACACCTCAGAAACTTGTACTTTTACTTGACTTACTTCAATCGTCGAAAGTCTCATATTTTCTTTCTGCACAAAAAAAAGCAAGAGATGACCAAGTTTGGTTATTAAGTGACTTTTTATCATCCGTGCGGAACAAAATGTCATTGCGACTTACAGCGTATGGAGTTAATTTCAAATCCAGTTGGTCTTTCTTGAACAGGCTATCCATTAGACGGAACATCTGTATGACCAATTGATCTTGCCTTGAAATGAATCGACTGATCTGGATACAAAATTATGGAGGAAGAACTTTATAGTTTGATCACATCACACATCACAAATTCAACAAAGCGATATTCCAAGAAAAATTTGAATAAAGATGAATGTTCACTAAAAAGACGGACCTCAGATCATCGCCTTGCTTAAAGATGAGTGTGTATTCTTTGTTCGCATCTGTGCCAGTTATCGTTCGAAATGTGAGCTTAACAGGCATCATCGCACTATTGAAAAGTACTGCAGAGTCTGGCATTACACTGGCAAGCCTACAATAAATATTTTCTTTGCTATACTTCAAGAACATCGATTACTTTTCCCTCAATCAGTGAGTAAAATGAATTATCCACACTCGCCTCACACTTGGATCTAAGGGCAGATGCAGACCGCGCAATTCCTTCATATGTCGTGCGTTCGCCAACAGAGTACAAAGTGCTGATTGACGGAGATCACGACGATTGTGCTTGCTTTTTGCCTCGTTCATCAGAGCCTTCAGGTCTTCGACGAATTGCTACAGATATGCAAATGTTTAAAATCAAAGATGTAAACATCTTTCAGTTGGTCAATACATTATTGATCGCGTGTATTTTTGTCGATGTATATTATCTACGTGGATCCCGTTTGAGGACCAGCCTTGATAGACAAGCGGCGTCGCGCCGTCGTTTACGACGGCAATCAGGCGGCGGCATCTGCTTATGTTTGTATGCATGCCTGGCTGTCTGCCTGTCTGCCTGCTTTCCCACGAGGACGCAACGCCGCCAGCACCTGACTAGAGATTTAACGTCGCGCTGGTGAACATCGAAAAGACTCTCATGGTCCCCAAAGGGTGATAAGATAAGCATATTGGCAGTCCATGCCGGTGTTGCGATTACCAAGAGATACAGTAGACGGAAATGACTTTAGTAAAGCCATTTGTAACGGAAAACCCAGACCTAATAAACAATGAACAAAGAGCTGTTTGTTATGAAGATGTTATCAGAAAATTTCTTTTCCTACGATGTGAATGACATCGTGATTACTTTCGGAATGTTGAGTGAGTATACTGTTGCGAGAAATTGTCACAAATTGTGTGCTGCTAATAATTATAATTTGTTTGCCGAGTGCTGTAAAGCTGCTAGCCGTAGATGTTGCAAGAATAATCAAATAAGTGAATAAATAAGAAAATCAAATGAGTTTATCAGATAGCCACCAAATTTGTATTGAAGCGCGCAGTCATAAACAGTAAGCCCCTGAAGCCCAAACGTGGCGCGGTCATCGGTGCATAGGAACATGTAAATTTGTACTCAACTAGTAGATAACCTGTTCTCGTTGCATTTCCAATCACAAACATACAATTAGTAACGGTATATTATAGTAACCTGATAAGTACTGTCCGTAAAAGATAAGCACTCTCGGCGTATGATAGATGACTGGAAGTTGTAGTGCACGAAATCCATCAGTGCAGTTAAAAAACAATAAAAATCGAAAATTCACAAAAAATAGCGGCAATAATTGCCACCTTGTCTAATAAAACAGCATTTTTTCTCAGCGTTTTGGCTTAGAAAGAAGGAAATAAATTAGAAAAGCTTTTAACTGGATGGAAATAATGGAAACAATTGCACGTACCCTCTGCATTCTCAAACTTTCTGCCTGATGTTTCATTTCAGGCGTACCGCGGTGCAATGTATGGAGGAGGCGATGAAGAAGCCGTTCGTAAACCTTAATAGACACTTACTGAAGTAAACAAAACCCTTAGAAGGAAGCTCCTACTACAATAAGGGACTCGAGAGAAATATAGTTGAAAAAACAAGTGAGAAATAATGACACAGGAACATTTTACGGTTATTCTTTGGAAGGAAAAAGAACTCGAACCGAATAAGACATTCGGAATACGGCAAAACGAAATCATGGTGTGCAAAAGTAAGAAAAGAGAAATGAGTAATATCAATGGACTTTGCACTTATTCCTAAACCCACATAACTTGTCGCTTGGAAACAAGATACATCCACGTATTTGGAGGTTTGTACGATCCATTTGCACGAATTCTGCGGACCCCAGCACATGAGAATGTGCTGGTTTAGCTGTTTTGCTCTCTGGAGTCCTAAGGCAAGCCTAGCCGAGACTTGTTCAGGTCGTCACCCCTTATAGCAATCGCCGGCCCTTTTGGACCAGATAGATTATCACCTTGCGACTAGAAGCTACCAAGACGGCGGTCATTTCCGGTACGGTTTGCTCCTAGCTGGGCTTTCCGAGCGGAAAGGTCGGATACTTTCTCAGTTTGGGTTGGGTTTCATGTTGGGAAGTTGAACCCCCGTGTACTTTGCATTCCGACATCCAGGAACACTTTCAAGCCACGATAAGGCGATAGACTATTTGGGAGGAACGGCAATACTAATATTGATAGTAATGCTAATACAGGAGTCCTAGTAGTTCAGCGATTAATCCGCTTCTCTAAAAAGGATGCAACCGTAGTTCATCTCCCACGCGAGGTTCAAAGCTTCGTATATGCTCAACATTATAAGCTATGTGATTATAATAACAATAATAACGGTAAAACTAAATGAAACTCACCATCGACAAGGCTTCGTCGGTTTTACGAGTAGCCTCCGCCTCTACTTTTAAGTGCCAGAATAAGAAGTTTGCGACTTTCGGATAACCAGTAGCATATCTAGACAAGGCGGGTTTACAGATGAAGTACTGCTCATCAGAAATCAATATAATCCTCGATAAGCGGATTTAAAAACCCATAGCAAATTTCATCCACATTTCTAACGAATTACATATTGAATCTTAAACTTAGAGAATTAGCGAGCTTGAATTTGGAAATAGACAGGGATATATGTGAGATACGACTGAAACGCACTTCACTAAGAATGACGCTAGATCGTCAGTAATGCGACCTGAAAGATCATCTTCCTCCAACACCACCACTTCTGTCGCTTCAGTCGCCTGCGAATTAGAACACGATTCCATCTGAACTACTACCTGCATAGAGAGAAAGGTCGTAACAGATCAAAAACTGATTCTGAGTTCTGAACAGAATTATTAATAACTCCTAGAATAGTATGTCTAAGTTCAAGACCTCTTCATAGATATGTTGTGATCATTGCTTTGTAGTCCACCAGCAAAACCCCTTAGGATGCAGAAGGGTCAATAAGAATCCTTTTCAAACTAAACGTTTTTTAGCGGGTGGTATAATACCACAGATATATCCAATCATGTTGAATGATATGGAAAAGTTTGACGTCAGGCGGGACTCGAACCCGCATTTATCTTCTTCGGGGTGCGTGCTTAACCATTTGCACTACCGACACCTGATAGAGGTCAATATTTTTAACTTGATATTCACATCATAGTAAATCAATGCCTACAATCACGGTATCCAGCCAACAAAATAAGCATTCGCTAACAGGTGGATTTCTGGTAAGAAAGTCAACACAGCTCTGATATACCCAGAGGGAGAATAATTGTGCATGACTGGCAGATTATTTCTTGAAAAGATTCTAATTGGATTTCAAATTCCTGCACGATTTTTTGAAAGTGAGCCTACTCAAATGTCCACTCTTTCTAATCTTATTTTATCGAGCTGGTCATCACTTCTGCTCTCCGCATCCAACAGCACTTTTCGCATTCGACTCGTTTCCTCAAATTCATCTCCCACAAAAGCATTCCAACATTTCATACGTTCCCTCGGCTGTTGCGTGAGGATTTCGTCATCTTCGTAAAGGTCGAGAATTGTGGTCGAGACGAATCTCTCTCATAATTGGTAGTAACCGGATTGAGACGCTATCTAAGGCGCCTGGTGATTGATTGCAAAAAAATGTAATTGAGAGAAGATCTGCTGGTTTCAAGCATATGGGAGATCGGAGTATATCCACCATACAAGTGACCAATGATAAAAATTGCTCTTTAACCTTCTTATTGTCTTGATATTTCAAAATATTCTGCTTTCTTGTGCTCGTTTAACTCCTTGACTTCCAAGTGTCCTCTGCAGAGGACAGTACTCACGCCGCCGCACGAGACGAGAAATTTGTACTAACGCCTACACAATGGAAATATCGGTAGTTTCAATAAAAAGAACTTTCAAGTGTCAAAATTTACTATGTTTCAACAAGAAAACCGCATCCGTCCAAAAAGGAACATATATCCAATTTTCGCCACTCAATTCTCTTAGCGATATTCGAAACATCAATAACAATGCGAAGAAGCAGTGAAAACATAAGACATTTCGAGTATAACATGTCTAATTTCTCTTCTTAATCTTTTTTCCTATAGTCGCTCGACAGTTTGAGAAATGCCGATTGAAACTGAGCTTAGTTTATGGGGAAAAGACCACGTTTTGCTTTCGAACCGCGTTATTCAACCTCACGGATTTTTTGGTGTTATGTAGTGACCTTGATTCTAAGCGAACTTTGTCGATATGAAAATTGTAGATTATCGCTGGAAAAACTTCTATAGACGTATTTTTACTGAACAAAACGTCCAGTTCTCTTAGAAAACCATACTTTTCAGTGCTAAAGATACATAACTGGGAAAACGACGCATTTCTGACTCTTTCTCTATATCTCTTTCGACGATTTTGTTTGAATGCAGAGTTTGAAAACACATTTCCTCAATGAACAACTTCTCGAAAATTTATATGGAAAGGATCTGGGCCGGAGCAAGCTTCAACAGAGTTTGTCTTCATTCACTTCATCTATTTGTAGGCAGAGTATGAGTGGATGATACAAAAAGTCGTTACCCATAATGCGATAGAACAAAGTCTTTTCTATGAATTCATAAAGGCTTCAACTCTCAAAGTACACTGAATCGCGTAATGGTATGTCAGTGATTTGAGCATAGTTGTAGTAGGAAACAAAAAGATGACACCAAAACAACTACAATGAAACGTCGTGGAAGGAGATCGAACCAGCTATCTTCTTCCTGATGGACGAGGGTGCCGAGCGGCAGAGAAGAGCGAGACTAGAGAGAGATTCCCATGCAGGGGGACAGAGATGCAGACGAGGTGGAGCAGACAGTTCAGCATTGTCCAGTCAGAGATGTAAAGGCCGTGGATCCATGGTCGCGAAACGGTTAATCAACAGAGAGTCAGAGCAGAAATCAAAAGTTAAAGTCCTTCTACAATTTGCATCTCTTGAACAGTGACAATAATCACATTTTCTAAGTCAGAGAGATAAATGAGATATCGAATCCACAGCAGAACACAACCAACATTGATTCTTATTAAACCATAATGCACTATCATGTGACCTTTGCACTTATTAACTACATAAGTCCCAGTTTAAAGAGAATTCTTTTGATCTAACCGCTTTTATAAATGGCATTTTATGACATACCCAGTGATGTAGAGTGATGTGCAAAAGTTTTACGTCGGTTGGGACTCGAACCAGCATTTCAACCTATCTGCGGGCACGTGCTCAATACTGTTGCATTAACAACACCTGTCTTGACACCACTCTTTCTAAGCTACAACCATTTATTTGTCAACAACCAACCGTTAACGGTTTGGCCTAGACAGTGAGGCATCGACATTGAACCCAGTTACGCTGACAGACACTGGGTATTGATTGATCAATTAGAATTCTTTTTATTTGATTGCAGGCATCAGTAGTACATCGGATCGGTTGGAGCACGCGTCACCCGAAAGGGTGAAGATGTGGGTTCGAGTTCCACTGACGCAAAAGTTTGGACACATCACTCTACATCACTGGTTGTATTATAACGTCGTACCACCGCTAAAAGCGATTACATAAAAAGGACTTCTTATTGATCATCGAATAGCCACAAATCGTCAGCGTGACTGGATTCAGCGTACAAGGCAGCCGTTGACGGTTGGTTGCTCGAAAGATAGATGCTTTGCAGCATAAAAAAGTGGTGACAAAACAGGCGTCTGCAGTGCAACGGTTTGAGCACGTACCCTCGGACAGGGTGAACTGTGGATTCGCGACTTCGTTGAAAACACATATGTCTACCCCCGTGTGTTATGTCACGTATTTTTCCATATGACGTTAACCAAAGATTCATTAATATATGTTTAGTATACCTGTTCTACGATAGCAGCGTCAGTTGTTGGGAGTGGCTCATACTTGAGTGCCTGTACCAGCTGCGGCAAGTAGAGCAAAACTTGTTCAGGAGAGGCAGCATCAAACAATCTTGAGACTGCGTAGCATCTAAATAATAACGATAAAAACTGAATTTCCTCACAGCTTTGCTTATGCATGCAATAAAGTAGATTTCACACCTGATATCTGGATGAGTGAACGCTGGTGACAGAAGTTCTAGCGCATCTTCGGCTTCTATAGGAGTCCAATCACTAAAGTTATAGTTACTATTGAACAGTTTAGACAGACCTAAACAAAAAAGAAAAACATCGAATTATTTTAATTAAATCCCTATGGCAATCACCCGTACTCCCAACAACAAATCTTCAATAGACGTAAACGCTGTTATTTGAAGAGCTAGAAAACACGATACGCTCTTCTCACACTTTTGCTTAAGACTCTGCTTCGTGGATAAAGCACTACGAAATTCAATATACTTCAACTTGCATTCAGTGATGCACTGGCCATCCCAACTCTCACTGAACAGCCTGGAAAATTCTGCCTGAATATAACATACTTGAGCAAGGCTAGGGCGTGCTGTTCCTCACTGGGTTGCTCCCAATTCACTGAACGCAGAAATTTATTGAGCGCGCGACGATCAGCTTGTAGAAAGTAGCGAAACTTCCACACAAGATCTCGCTTGCTCACGGCTAAGCGATTGTGAAGGTGGTAACTGAAAGTCTGACAAGCCTTGTACCAAGAATTAAAAAGCGATTATATACTTGACGAATTTGAATATTGATACGCCTTAAATAGAAGAATTTCCACAAGAACACGTACCCGTATGATTGCTTCTAGCCGATCCTTTGTCTGTTTATTTGGTTTCAACTGCTTGTCCATAGCACCTGCTCTTGCATTTCTAGTCATCACGTTGTGCTTCGTTTCAGCCAAATTCTCTAACCCTAGCTCAGGGTCGAACCCGCGTGACGACGCCGTTGCAACACTACCGCCACCCACCGATGCAACGATTCTGAGCTGAAATAGGTCGAAAATGATTCCTAAAATGCATATCTATGTAACATTTCGCCATCATGCTACCTAAATAACCCTTTGAGGTACACGAAAGTCATTCTGATGATCACCGCTTGACATCAAATCCCACTCGGCTACTGTGATGGCGGACGTCGCGTCTTGTGGGAAAGCAGGCAGACAGCCAGACACGCGTGCACAGATATGCAGAGTCTGAAATCTGGCCGCTTGCCTGACTGCCGCTCAAGTGACGCCACGACGCCGCTTGCCTATCAACGCTGGTCTTCAAAAGATTAGTTGTTCCCGTAATTCTCTGTATATCTCCTATATTTAGCTCAAGTTCTTCAGACTGCTTCAATGTTGTGTAGCGAAACCTCTTAACACTTCTTTGACAACTGAACCAAAAACACAAAGTGTACGCAGCCCTCAATTTTTCGCGTGGATACCCTCAATTCTAGGGACTTCAACCAAGTTAGGCTCAAAAACGTATGTCCTCAGCCACTCATAGACAGTGTGTTACGAGAGGATCGAAAGCTTTAGAAGCTACTACGTACTTGTCACAAAAAGCAGAGTGGACTCAAGCAGTGTACCCCGCTACGTACTGCGTCCTGAGTATAAATTCTCATATATACATTGCTACCAAATATTTACAAGAAGGTCAAAGAATGTGCTTGCGCCAATCAGATTCTGATTTCCATATCGACGTTGCCAAAGATTTGCAATCAAAAGGATGGAAGACAGTTTGGTGTCGCATGCAAAAAATATGCATATGTTTACCTTTGCAGCGCCATCGATACTACGCCTCATCCACTCAGTCGATAAAAAGTGAAGGAAGAAAGGAAAAAAGAAACCAAATTTCTCACGTCAAAGTGCTCTTCACAAACATGAACTAATCGAAGCACATTAGATGGCCATAGTATTTGAGTTTCAGAATATATATAATAATATGCAGTGTAAATACGCCTTATTTTATTGAAATACTCAAGATGAGCTCCATTTTCGAGTATAGATCTTCTCTTAATGTCCTATCGAATCGCGCTTTCAAAATTATAGAAAGGAAGACATGGAACAAGAACGTTGCTCTCACGTCAGGAGTTGGATCCTCGTAATAAACCACATCATAGTGCTGACGGTCGTACTGGATAGATGCCATTTTGATGACGAGAAACAAATAGCGTTGGGTTGAAGCAAACTTGCGCTATAAAATTCACTAATCCGTGAAATCTTTACAAGAACGAGAATTG